TACAGTTAGTTGTAGTTCACGTTTATCTGAGCTGATTGGTCTTCTTCTCTTTAACAACTGTCTCTGGTGACGTATACAGTTAGTTGTAGTTGATGTTTATCTGAGCTGATTGGTCTTCTTCTGTTTAACAACTGTCTGTGTTGAAGTATAAAGTTAGTTGTAGTTCACGTTTATCTCAGCTGATTGGTCTGGTTCTGTTTAACAACTGTCTCTGGTGAAGTGTACTATTAGTTCTTGTTCACGTTTACCTCAGCTGATTGGTCTTGTTCTGTTTAACAACTGTCTGTGTTGAAGTATACTATTAGTTCTATTGTCCTGTGTACCCGTGTTGGTCCGTTTCACGCCTGTCTTCCTGGTGCACGATCTCACCCAGCTGGGGGTATATGAAGCTTCTGTACAAGGACGTGGGGCACTTATTACATATACAAAACTATCAATGACAGGTGTATTCAACAGAGTTAGTCATGCGTGAAGATGGCGGTTTTGAATTTCGATAATCACTTTACTTCAGCATTGAGGAGAAATGACTAAACACAAAGTTGAACACGTGACGCCCTAGCATGTTTTGTACACCTAAACATTTGTGACAGTATGCCTTCCCTGTCCAGCCAAGTGGGAAATCACGATCCTATGTATGGAGAGTCATTTTTACAGTACATCAAAATGCATCCATATTAAGCACTAGACCTCAGCAATCTGTGCACAACTTAAGCGATATTAGGGAAGTACTGGAATGCTTTTAATCTTTCAAAGCAAAACAAAATAGTTTCTGAATCCTGAAAACGCTTGTATCACGATACAATAAATAATTGACTACATTAGGCAAATGTTAGTCACTGAAACGAGGAAAAAGATGACGAACACGCAGAAAAAACGACAATCCAAACAATCCAAGTTTTAAAGCACACCGTTTGTTTGGAACAACCCGACAGGGGGGTTCGCCGAGCCGAGAAGAATTAAAGATACAGAAAGTTGACAATACCTGAAATATACATCGGCAACAGGATTTACTCGTCTTAATGCGTGAATATATCAGTCTTGTGGAACCGTTCTTTGTTTATGTAAGTTATTGTTAAATGTAATGAAACATAATTGGGCGAGATATGGTTTAAGCTGTTTGGTAAAGCCCGATACTGCTCTATCTGTAATGCCTTTATGAATATGAAGATTATGTGAAGATATCTTTCTGACATGATTTTGCATAATATGATGGTTATTGTTTTATTGATAAGATTTTATGACATTAGTAAGTTTACTTTGAATATCAAAACTAAGTTTATATGTCTTCATTTATTATTTTACTGATACTTTCAAAGCATTATTTGATAAGCTTAACCATAACACAGAAACAATCAAAGATAACAGTAATTTCTTGATAAATGTGAAAACGGTTTAGCGTATGTTGGTGTCTATAGTGTGCATGCGTAGGTGTGCCTGAAAACTCTGTTTAGGTTAAAATATATATAATGCTTACTTCGACAATTGAGATAATGAGGTTTTATTATGATGGTGTTGATGACGTAGTCAGTGACTGTATACTGCTTGTCAAGGTCAGTAGTAAGCAGGCACATGAAATAAAGACAATGAGACCGCTCTTCGAGCTACGTATTTAGATCTATGCATATAGATTCACACTGATAGAAACACCCTCCACACTGCTGTGTGATACGACGGACGACTTTAGCTTCCAACAGTCGACGTTACTTTATGTTAATAAATATTCCATAAGACTCCTACATAGAAGGTGTTCGACCAAGGTTCGAGCAGTATAAAAGTAAGGCTTTCAAATGTTTCATGGTAGACACGTGGTGGACATTTCGAAATCTGAAAATTATGTTTGATGCAATTCCCTGTTGTGAGTTGCACCAAACGTTCACGTTTTTATGCCTGTCCCATAAACGACTGATGGTACTCTGGTGAACATTGAGGTGATGGCAGATTGATACTCACGAGAGACTACGGCCTCATACAGGCGAAGTCCCTGTCCACCATTCCTCAGAACTGCACATGCATATTGTGACCCACTTCTAATCCATGACATGTTCATGCAAGTTGACACTTTCGTACGCAAACGTATGTCTGACTTTCATGGTATAAGTTATATACCTAGTCTATCCCAGCTTTGTTACTTAGACTAAATTGTATAATTATAGAACTAGTTTTTCCCAGTTCTATCAGTTCTATCAGCTACATTGTATGAAGTATATCAATAGAATATAGTAGTTCTATCCTAACTGTGTCAGTCAGACTACATTGTATGACGTATATAACTAGTATATCCTAACTGTGTCAGTCAGACTACATTGTATAACCTATATAACTAGTATATCCTATCTGTGTCAGTCAGACTACATTGTATAACGTATATAACTAGTATATCCTAACTGTGTCAGTCAGACTACATTGTATAACATACATAACTAGTATATCTTAACTGTGTCAGTCATACTACATTGTACAACGTATATAACTAGTATATCCAAACTGTGTCAGTCAGACTACATTGTATAACCTATATAACTAGTATATCCAAACTGTGTCAGTAAGACTACATTGTATAACGTATATAACTAGTATATCCTAACTGTGTCAGTCAGACTACATTGTATAACTTGTATAACTAGTATATCCTATTTGTGTCAGTCAGACTACATTGTACAACGTATATAACTAGTATATCCAAACTGTGTCAGTCAGACTACATTGTATAACGTATATAACTAGTACATCCTAACTGTTTCAGTCAGGCTACATTGTATAACCTATGTAACTAGTACATCCAATCTGTGTCAGTCAGACTACATTGTATAACCTATATAACTAGTACATGTATATCCAAACTGTGTCAGTAAGACTACATTGGAAAAGTATATGTAACCAGTATATCCTAGCTCTGTCAGCAAGGTTACACTAGTGACATGCACCCTTCCATATAAGTAACACCGGTTTTCTGCACCCTCCCTTGTAAATGACCCAAGTCTTCTGCACCCTCCCATATAAGTGACACTAGTGTTCTGCACCCTCCCATGTAAGTGACACCAGTGTTCTGCACCCTCCCTTATGACAACAGTGTTCTGCACCCTCCCATGTAATCGACACCAGTGTTCTGCACCCTGCCATGTAAGTGACACCAGTGTTCTGCACCCTCCCTTATGACACCAGTGTTCTGCACCCTCCCTTATAACACCAGTGTTCTGCACGATCCCTTATGACACCAGTGTTCTGCACCCTCTCATGTAATCGACACCTGTGTTCTGCACCATCCTTTATGACACCAGTGTTCTGCACCCTCCCTTATGACACCAGTGTTCTGCACCCTCCCTTATGACACCAGTGTTCTGCACGCTCCCTTATGACACCAGTGTTCTTCGCTCTCCCTTGTAGTGACACCTGTCTTCTACACCCTCTCTTATGACACCAGTGTTCTACACCCTCCCTTGTAGTGACACCTGTGTTCTACACCCTCTCTGATGACACCAGTGTTCTTCACCCTCCCTTATGGCACCAGTGTTCTGCACCCTCCCTTGTAGTGACACCTGTCTTCTACACCCTCTCTTATGACACCTGTCTTCTTCACCCTCCCTTGTAGTGACACCTGTGTTCTACACCCTCTCTTATGACACCAGTGTTCTGCACCCTCCCTTGTAGTGACACCTGTGTTCTACACCCTCTCTTATGACACCAGTGTTCTTCACCCTCCCTTATGGCACCAGTGTTCTGCACCCTCCCTTGTAGTGCCACCTGTGTTCTACACCCTCTCTTATGACACCTGTCTTCTTCACCCTCCCTTGTAGTGACACCTGTGTTCTACACCCTCTCTTATGACACCAGTGTTCTGCACCCTCCCTTGTAGTGACACCTGTGTTCTACACCCTCTCTTATGACACCAGTGTTCTTCACCCTCCCTTATGGCACCAGTGTTCTGCACCCTCTCTTATGACACCTGTGTTCTACACCCTCTCTTATGACACCAGTGTTCTTCACTCTCCCTTATGACACCAGTGTTCTGCACCCTAACCTTGTAGTGACACCTGTCTTCTACACCCTCTCTTATGACATCAGTTTTCTGCACCCTCCCTTGTAGTGACACCTGTGTTCTACACCCTCTCTTATGACACCAGTGTTCTTCACCCTCCCTTATGACACCAGTGTTCTGCACCCTCCCTTATGACACAAGTGTTCTGCACCCTCCCTTGTAGTGACACCTGTCTTCTACACCCTCTCTTATGACACCCGTGTTCTGCACCCTCCCTTATGGCACCAGTGTTCTGCACCCTCCCTTGTAGTGACATCTGTCTTCGACACCCTCTCTTATGACACCTGTCTTCTACACCCTCTGTTTTGACACCAGTGTTCTTCACCCTCCCTTATGGCACCAGTGTTCTGCACCCTCCCTTGTAGTGACACCTGTCTTCTACACCCTCTCTTATGACACCAGTGTTCTTCACCCTCCCTTATGGCACCAGTGTTCTGCTCCCTCTCTTATGACACCTGTGTTCTACACCCTCTCTTATGACACCAGTGTTCTTCACCCTCCCTTATGGCACCAGTGTTCTGCACCCTCCCTTGTAGTGACACCTGTGTTCTACACCCTCTCTTATGACACCAGTGTTCTTCACCCTCCCTTATGGCACCAGTGTTCTGCACCCTCCCTTGTAGTGACACCTGTCTTCTACACCCTCACTTATGACACCAGTGTTCTGCACCCTAACCTTGTAGTGACACCAGTGTTTTGCACGATCCCTTATGGCACCAGTGTTCTGCACCCAAACCTCGTAGTGACACCAGTGTTTTGCACGATCCCTTATGACACCCGTGTTCTGCACCCTCCCACGTAAGTGACACCGGTGTTTAGCACCCTCCCTTGTGACACCATTGTTCTGCACCAGCCCATGTAAGTGGCACCAGTGTTCTGCTACGTCCCACCCAAACTGTCAGAACGACTGAAGCACACGCGCCCCATAGTTTAGCACTACGTATACGTGGGAGAGCATACTTACATATCTGGCAGTTGGGTCCCGACCAAAACTCTTGACAGGCAGTGCAAGTTCCATCCGGGTACTTGACACACTCCCCCTGTGATGAGCAGTGGCACTGGTCGGCACCTCAGAATACAAACAGCGAATGACTATCTGTGGGCCTGATTGAGGAGGGAGAGCATTATGAATACCCATTAACACTTCCTAGACTGACATTATATACACACAAAAACTCTCATCTGACATGTGTTACAAGGTATTACGTATCTCATTGTAGTGTGTGTATATCATGTCGACACGACCATTAGTACCTGTTTACAATGAGATACATAGTACCTTGTAATACGACCATTAGTACCTGTCTACAATGAGATACATAGTACCTTGTAACACGACCATCAGTACCCGTCTACAATGAGATACATAGTACCTTGTAACACGACCATCAGTACCTGTGTATAAAGAGATACAGAGTACCTTGTAACACGACCATTAGTACCTGTCTATAAAGAGATACAGAGTACCTTGTAAAACAGCCATTGCCAACAAACTGTCAGGTGTCTGGAAGCACTGCAGTGAGATAAGCAGTTGTATAATTCTGTCCCATGTTTGGTGTAACGTACCACCTCCCAGGGACCCAGGTTATTACAGATGCGCTGTAACCTAGTGGAGGTCGAGGACCTTTAGCGTGAAGCTCTGTAGATATTAACCATATATCTCCGTACACATCCCATCAAATCGCCTATTACAAGAACCGCGTTAACGTTTTGAGTGTTGCTAGGTTTATGATACGGAAGATTGAGTTAGTTCTGTCACTGTCCTTGTGGTGACTTGCTCCTATGTTTCTGTGTTACAGGCAACACCAGAGCTCGAGCGACATCCCCAGTGTACAACATCTGCTACTCACACAATCACAGCATCCTTACCTGCCACAAGCTGTGATGTGAAGACAAGCAGTATCGCCCAGCACCATCTCGTATAAGCGAAGGTATCCATGACTGTCGTGGTCGGAAGTCAGTCACTGTGTGACGCATCCACCGACTGAGTGGGTGTCACGCTCCGCTGATCTCATCGTCCTTCCGTCTTCAACTGGTCATTGTGTTGAGTGAAGCACTGCAGAGAGCTCAGCATGGTTCACTGCGGAAAGGTATGACAATACACAATTACAAACTAACACAGAGAATATACTACATGTCACAATACACAACTACATACTAACACAGAGAATATACGACATGTCACAATACACAACTACATACTAACACAGAGAATATACTACATGTCACAATACACAACTACATACTAACACAGAGAATATGCTACATGTCACAATACACAACTACATACTAACACAGAGAATATGCTACATGTCACAATGCACAACTACATACTAACACAGAGAATATACGACATGTCACAATACACAGCTACATACTAACACAAAGAGAATATGCTACATGTCACAATGCACAACTACATACTAACATAGAGAATATGCTACATGTCACAATGCACAACTACATACTAACACAGAGAATATACTACATGTCACAATACACAACTACATACTAACATAGAGAATATGCTACATGTCACAATGCACAACTACATACTAACATAGAGAATATACTACATGTCACAATACACAACTACATACTAACACAGAGAATATACGACATGTCACAATACACAACTACATACTAACATAGAGAATATGCTACATGTCACAATACACAACTACATACTAACACAGAGAATATACTACAGGTCACAATACACAACTACATACTAACATAGAGAATATACTACATGTCACAATACACAACTACACACTAACACAGAGAATATACTACAGGTCACAATACACAACTACATACTAACACAGAGAATATACTACATGTGACAATACACAACACCATTCTAACACAGAGAATATACTACATGTGACAATACACAACTACATACTAACACAGAGAATATACTACATGTGACAATACACAACACAGAGAATATACTACATGTGACAATACACAACACCAGAATAACACAGAGAATATACTACACAATACACAACTACATACTAACACAGAGAATATACTACATGTCACAATACACAACTACATACTAACACAGAGAATATACTACATGTGACAATACACAACACCATACTAACACAGAGAATATACTACAGGTCACAATACACAACTACATACTAACACAGAGAATATACGACATGTCACAATACACAACTACATACTAACATAGAGAATATGCTACATGTCACAATACACAACTACATACTAACACAGAGACTATACTACAGGTCACAATACACAACTACATACTAACACAGAGAATATACTACATGTGACAATACACAACACCATTCTAACACAGAGAATATACTATATGTGACAATACACAACTACATACTAACACAGAGAATATACGACATGTGACAATACACAACTACATACTAACACAGAGAATATACTACATGTGACAATACACAACTACATACTAACACAGAGAATATATAACATGTGACAATACACAACTACATACTAACACAAAGAATATACTACATGTGACAATACACAACTACACACTAACACAGAGAATATGCTACATGTCACAATACACAACTACATACTAACACAGAGAATATACTACAGGTCACAATACACAACTACATACTAACACAGAGAATATACTACATGTGACAATACACAACTACATACTAACACAGAGAATATACTACATGTCACAATACACAACTACATACTAACACAGAGAATATACTACATGTGACAATACACAACTACACACTAACACAGAGAGAATATACATGTCACAATACACAACTACATACTAACACAGAGAATATACTACAGGTCACAATACACAACTACATACTAACACAGAGAATATACTACATGTGACTATACACAACTACATACTAACACAGAGAATATACTACATGTCACAATACACAACTACATACTAACACAGAGAATATACGACATGTCACAATACACAACTACATACTAACACAGAGAATATACTACATGTCACAATACACAACTACACACTAACACAGAGAATATACTACATGTGACAATACACAACTACACACTAACACAGAGAATATGCTACATGTCACAATACACAACTACATACTAACACAGAGAATATACTACAGGTCACAATATACAGCTACACACGAACACAGAGAATATACTACATGTCATAATACACAACTACATACTAACACAAAGAATATACTACATGTGACAATACACAACTACATACTAACACAGAGAATATACTACATGTGACAATACACAACTACATACTAACACAGAGAATATACTACATGTCACAATACACAACTACATACTAACATAGAGAATATACTACATGTCACAATACACAACTACATACTAACACAGAGAATATACTACATGTCACAATACACAACTACACACTAACACAGAGAATATGCTACATGTCACAATACACAACTACATACTAACACAGAGAATATATGCTACATGTCACAATACACAACTACATACTAACACAGAGAATATATATACTACACAACTGTACACAATACACAACTACATACTAACACAGAGAATATAAGACAGAGAATATACTACATGTGACAACACAACCACACACTAACTACATACTAACACAGAGAATATACTACATGTCACAATACACAATACACAGAGAATATACTACATACTAATACACACAGAGAATATACTACATGTGTCACAATACACAACATACTAACACACAGAGAATATACTACATGTCACAATACACAACTACATACTAACACAGAGAATATACTACATGTGACAATACACAACTACATACTAACACAGAGAATATACTACATGTGACAATACACAACTACATACTAACACAGAGAATATACTACATGTGACAATACACAACTACATACTAACACAGAGAATATGCTACATGTCACAATACACAACTACATACTAACACAGAGAATATACTACATGTCGACACAATACACAACTACATACTAACACAGAGAATATACTACATGTCAATACACTACATGTGACAATACACAACTACACACTAACACAGAGAATATACTACATGTCACAATACACAACTACACACTAACACAGAGAATATACTACATGTGACAATACACAACTACACACTAACACAGAGAATATACTACATGTCACAATACACAACTACACACTAACACAGAAAATATACGACATGTCACAATACACAACTACATACTAACACAGAGAATATACTTCATGTGACAGTACACAACTACATACTAACACAGAGAATATACTACACCTGACAATACACAACTACATACTAACACAAAGAATATACGGCATGTCACAATACACAACTACATACTAACATAGAGAATATACTATTTGTGACAATACACAACACCATACTAACACAGAGAATATACTATATGTGACAATACACAACTACATACTAACAGACAAACCCACAGGAAGTAAACCTGTCATGAAAATGATATCAGATTGTGCGGGGCTTGGCGGGTATATCCTTCAGAGCATATATCTATGCTTCACAGAACATCCACTGTTAGTTCATCTTGCAAAACAAACAAAATCTATCAACTAAACACCGCAATACCTCATCGATCCATTTGGACCATTTGTCGCAATGTCAAGCTATCGAATTGTGGCGTATTGAACAATATTTTTGTTTCACACGAACGGCAACAACGGGACATTTCTTAAAGTCAAAATATGTTGAGTTTTCGCATTGTCTCAATGTCGCCTCATCTGAATTGTGTAAGTAAGTGCGTATCATAGTAAGATAACACAACAGCTTGAAAACTCGACGATGTGTGGATGCATGTGGTAGACATAAACCCACTGGACACTATCCTTCCATTCAAATATATAGTCTTCAGGAGCACCCAACTTCTAAATGCCTCTCAAAGAAGTTATCCGTCGTCTTCATGGAGACGTGGCAATTTCAACCATCAACAGACTCAGCAACCTGGAAAAACAGTATGTAAATTCCTCCAACCACCTCACATTCCTAATGCGATGCAGAGACAACAAACTCATACCCAAAGGACTACAGCTAAGAAGCCCAGTCAAATCGCCAGTAGCTCACAGCATCCTTCATAAAGCTTCCCAACATCTCGTCATAGAAAGGATACGCCACTACCGTAAGACCAGGGCCCTCACGCCATCGCCGAAAAACAAAACTACCTTCAATCAGTTCTCTCACGCTTCACTCAGGAACATGCAGACCACAAGTAACTGCACCCTAGACTCTGCCAGGAAAAATACCCACTTTGCTAAGTTCAACAAATTAAAGATGGATACCCATCAACCCAGAAAACCTACCAGAGAAAACCGTCGTCAACTTAAGCAGCAAGAATCTTAACCAGCAACATATTGCAGTCTAGACAAAGGCCTCAAGTATTCACCCACCAACATCCGGGCCAACAACGATGAGTTCATCACTAATGTTGAGGAGGGCCTGCAGTAACTGGCCCCGGCGGCAACGTTGACTTCCTCCGACGCCAGCATCCTCTCCAAAGACAGATCCCAGAAACCCAACCTCACCCATCAGACAAAATGAATCCCCCCACAGCCTAAAACCTATCACCATAGCCCCAGCAGACAAAGGCAAGGTAACAGTCATCATGGACACAGCCCATTTCAACAGACTGACCGACACTATCCTCCAGGACCAGACGACCTACAAGAGACTAAAGGAGGACCCTACCAACACACTACAAAAAGAACACAAGGCATTACTCAAGAAACCCCTCAACAACAACGAAATCGGCCCCACCCTCCACAAAAAGCTCATCACACCTCATCCAATGCCACCATATGCCCGTGCCACCATATAGAAATTACAAGGACCCTGTGAAAGCCCGTCTGTTAGTCTGTAGCAGGGACACAATCCACTACAATACTGCCCAATATCTATCCCGCCTCCTCTCACCACTCGGAAAAACTGCTAAATCGTTCATCCCAGATTCATCCGCTTTCTGTAAGAAGATCCATGACATTAACCATCCCGAGAAATTAATCAGCTTTGACGTCGTTGACCTGGTTTCTAATGCCCTGTGTGACGAAGCCATTGAAATCCTGAGAATCCACATAGATAAAATCCACCCATCCCTCTGTTGGTCCCGGAAAGTGGACGATACCTTTGTCATCCTTAAGCCTGACAGCGGCCCTAAAGCTCCACTAGACCACATCAACTCCTAAACCCCACGTATCCAGTTCACCATGGAAGAAGAGTCTAAACGTCAATTGCCCTTCCTTGATGAACTGGTTTGTCAAGACACCAACAATAAACTTAGTCCTACAGTATACCGAAACCAACCCACACAGACCAGTACTTTCACTACGCTTCCGATCATCCACCCCAAGTCACGAAAGGAATCATCTTCACCCTAGTACGTCGAGCCCACAATATCAGCTCCACCAAGCAACGCCTTACCGCCGATCTCGAGCACCTAAAACAAGTCTTCACACAGTAGAACAACTACCTGAACGGCTTGTGCAACCAACCATACAGAACTTCAACAATAAAACAGAGAAACCCACCCGTCAACAATCTGCACCCTTTGTCATCAGCCTCCTCTACAACGGAATTGTCAGCCACAAAGTCCAGAGACTCCTTAAACAATCCCAGGCCAATATAGATGTGGTTTTGAAAGAAGCAACACCATCCTCAACACCATCACGGCGACTGGCAAGCCACCAACCAGCCAGAAACAACAACCACCAGCACCGACCAGCCAGAAACAACAACCACCAGCACCGACCAGCCAGAGCAACAGCCACCAACACCGACCAGCCTGAAACAACAACCACCAACACCGACCAGCCAGAAACAACAACCACCAACACCGACCGGCCAGAAACAACAACCACCAACACCGACCAGCCTGAAACAACAACCACCAACACCGACCAGCCTGGAAACAACAACCACCAACACCGACCAGCCAGAAACAACAACCACCAACACCGACCAGCCAGAAACAACAACCACCAACACCGACCAGCCAGAAACAACACCAACACTGACCACCAACACCGACCAGCCAGAAACAACAACCACCAACACCGACCAGCCAGAAACAACAACCACCAACACCGACCAGCCAGAAACAACAACCACCAACACCAACCAGCCAGAAACAACAACCACCAACACCAACCAGCCAGAAACAACAGCCACCAACACCGACCAGCCAGAAACAACAACTGCAACCACCAACACCAACCAGCCAGAAACAACAACCACCAACACCAACCAGCCTGAAACAACAACCACCAACACCAACCAGCCTGAAACAACAACCACCAACACCGACCAGCCTGAAACAACAACCACCAACACCGACCAGCCAGAAACAACAACCACCAACACCGACCAGCCTGAAACAACAACCACCAACACCGACCAGCCAGAAACAACAACCACCAACACCAACCAGCCAGAAACAACAACCACCAACACCAACCAGCCTGAAGCATCAACCACAGGGAACAGTTTACCACGTCTCCTGCCACTGTGGACAGACCTACGTAGGTGAAACATCAAGACCCCTCAAAATCCGAATCATAGACTGACTGACTGAGTTTAGTTTTACGCCGCTTTTAGCAATTTTCCAGCAATATCACGGCGGGGGACACCAGAAATGGGCTTAACACATTGTGCCCATGTGGGGAATCGAACCCGGGCCTTCGGTGTGACGAGCCAACGCTTTAACCACTAGGCTACCCCACCGCCCCCGAATCATAGAACATCAGACCTCAGAATCAAAACTAGACTCAAAATCAGCCCATACAAATCACACCAAAACCACTCCCGACCACAATATCCAGTGGGACAAAACCCAAACCCTAACAACCAACCTGACTATAAACTCAGGAAACTCTAAGACGCCATCTACATCAAAAGACTCCAGCCATCAATCAACCGTGACCAAGGTTACTATATACCTCCTACTATATACTACTTGCTCATTAAAGATCCTCATCATCGATAATCCCCCGTTTATGTACACAACTAATTATCATCCCCATAATCACCTATTTATGTATACCACAGGCTTCACTTCCCATTGTGTACTTTGGAGGCTTCATTTGTTAACGCTTTCATCTAAGTCCTTGTGTTGTTATTGTGTCTGGCTTCCTAATCCCCATTGAACTGTACAAACATCTGCTCTAACATGTATATATACCCCTTCATCCTTATGCTGGGGCGGTGGGGTAGCCTAGTGCTTAAAGCGTTGGCTCGTCACGCCGAAGACCCGGGTTCGATTCCCCACATGGGCACAATGTGTTAAGCCCATTTCTGGTGTCCCCCGCCGTGATATTGCTGGAATATTGCCAAAAGCGGCGTAAAACCAAACTCAGTCAGTCAGTCAGTCATCCTTATGCTGTTCATCACTTGCTTGATAACGGTGTTAGAACCTACACCGAAACGTCGCTCTCACAGCAATAAAGAAGTTGTTCATCCATATATTGCTATCCTTCCATATTTTATGGACGACTCTTTCATTTGCAACACCTGCCACTGCCAGCGTTCATAAAAGCGAAAGAACCCACCAACCAAAAAACCCACGTATATATCTTCGACTGAAAATTATCCATCATAGAAGGAATGGATTTTTTTCCAAAGGAGATCTTAAAAGTGTAGCACAACCTTGAAGATCCGGGTTAGAAATGATATTCAGACACCACAGGGAAATAGACCACAACGCGATCACACACCACACAGGTCGATAGACCATCTCAGGAACACAGAACACCACAGGAACATAGATCACTTCAAGGTCACAGACCACCACAGGAACATAGACAACCACACGATCACACACCACACAGATCTATAGGCCACCACAGGAACATAGACCATCTCAAGGTCAGAGACCACCACAGGAACATAGACCACCACACGATCACAGACTACCACAGGAACATAGACCACCACAGGAACATAGACCACCACAAGATCACAGATCACCACAAGATCACAGACCACCACAGGAACATAGACCACCACGCGATCACAGACCACATAGGGGTATAGACCGCCTCAGGACCACGGACCCCACAGAAACACAGACACGATTTGACCACAGATCAGCACAGAACCATAGACAACCACAGGAACATAGACCACCACAGGAACATAGACAACCACAGGACCATGGACCACCACATGATCACAGACCACGCAGGTCTATAGGCCACCACAGGAACATAGACCACCACACGATCACAGACCACGCAGGTCTATAGGCCACCACAGGAACATAGACCACCACACGATCACAGACCACACAGGTCTATAGGGCCACCACAGGAACCACACATGACCACAGGCCACAACAGGAACACAGACCGCACAGGTCTATAGGCCACCACAGGACCACAGACCACCACAGGGAAAATAGGACCACCTCAAGGTCAGAGACCACCACAGGAACATAGACCACCACACGATCACAGACCACCACAAGATCACAGACCACACAGATCAAGATCACAGACCACCACAAGATCACAGACCACCACAGGAACATAGACCACCACACGATCACAGACCACATAGGGTATAGACCACCTCAGGACCACGGACCCCACAGAAACACAGACACCATATGACCACAGATCAGCACAGAACCATAGACAACAACAGGAACATAGACACCACAGGACCACAGACAACCAGGAACATGGACCACCACATGATCACCACGATCACACACCACACAGGAACATAGACCACCACACGATCACACACACCACGCAGGTCCTATAGGCCACCACAGGAACATAGACCACCACATGGACCACAGGTCCACCACAGGAACATAGACCACTACACGATCACAGACCACACAGGTCTAGAGGCCACCACAGGACCACAGACTACCACAGGAACATCAGACCACCACAGGAACATAGACCACCACAGGATCATAGACCACCACAGAAGTCACAGACCACCACAGGAACATAGACCACCACAAGATCACATAGACCACCACAGAACCACATACAGGATATAGACCACCTCAGGACCACGGACCACCACAGAACCACAGACACCATATGACCACAGATCAGCACAGAACCATAGACAACCACAGGAACATAGACAACCACAGGACCACAGACAACCACAGGACCATGGTCCACCACATGATCACAGACCACGCAGGTCTACAGACCACCACAGGAACATAGACCACCACACGATCACAGACCACGCAGGTCTATAGGCCACCACAGGAACATAGACCACCACACGATCACAGACCACGCAGGTCTATAGGCCACCACAGGAACATAGGTCAGAGACACCACACGATCACAGACCACACAGGTCTATAGGCCACCACAGGACCACAGACCACAGGTCACAACCAGGAACATACAGACCACAAAGGTCTATAGGCCACCACAGGACCACAGACCACCACAGGAACAGGATAGACCACCACAGATCACTGACCACCTCAAGATCACAGACCAGCCAGAAGATCACAGACCACCACAAGATCATAGACCACCACAGGAACATATACCACCACACGATCACAGACCACATAGGTCTATAGACCACCTCAGGACCACGCACCCCACAGATCCAGGAGCACACATATGACCACAGACCGAGTGACCACAGACCACAGACCACCACAGGACCATGGACCACCACAGGCACATGTACCACCACAGGATCACAGACCACGCAGGTCTACAGACCACCACAGGAACATAGACCACCACAGGGACATAGACCAAATACGTCTATAGGCCAACCCACGACCACAGACCACCACAGAACCATGGACCAGCACAGGATCACAGATCACTACAGGACCACAGACACCAAAGAACCATAGACCACTACAGAACGACCACAGGACCACACACTACCAGCGGATCATAGACTACCCCATTTCTGGTGTCTCAAGACATGATATTGCTGGAAAATAACTAAAAGCGGCGTAAAATCCTATTCACTCACTCACCCCAAGGACTACCACAGGATCACAGAACCATAGACCACTACATGACCACCACAGGACCACAGAACCCTGGACCACCACAGGACCACAGACCACTACAGGACCACCACAGGACGTGATGGAGCGTACGTAAAATATACGCCGTGAACCTGTTTCCTCCATGTATTTCTTGTGGTGTTCACTGAGTGAGTTGCAAGTAACAGTGTTGATGGTAGTAACAGTAGCAGTCACGGTGGTGATGGTATTAGTAGTAGTAGTAGTAGTAGTAGTAGTAGTAGTAGCAGTGTTGATGCAGTAGTAACAGTGGCCACGTTGGAGGTGGCCAGTGGTAGTAGTGTTAGTAGTAGTAGTAGTAGTAGTAGTAGTAGTAGCAGTGTTGATAAGTAGTAAAGGAAGTACCAGTCATAGTGGTAATGGTAGTACAAGGAAGTATGCAGTGAAAGTAGCAGTGGTGAAGTAGTGAAGTGGTAATGACAGTCTTACAAATAGTAGCAGTAGTGATAGTCGTGGTGGGTAGTAATAGTAATAGTAGTAGTAGTAGTGAGTAGTGTGAGTAGTAGTAGTAAGTAGTAGTAGTAGTGTGGTAATTAGTAGTAGTAGTAGTAGTAGTAGTAGTAGTAGTAGTAGTGTGTGTGGTAGTAGTAGTAGTAGTAGTAGTAGTGGTAGTAGTGAGTAGTAGTAGTAGTGAAGTAGTGGTAGTAGTAGTAGAGTGTAGTAGTAGTAGTAGTAGTGAGTAGTAGTAGTAGTGGTAGTAGTAGTAGTAGTAGTAGTAGTAGTAGTAGTAGCAGTAGTAGTAGTAGCGCAGCAGTAGTAGCAGTAGCAGTAGTAGTAGTAGTAGTAGTAGTAGTAGCAGTAGTAGTAGTAGTAGTAGTAGTAGTAGTAGTAGTAGTAGTAGTAGTAGTAGTAGTAGTAGTAGTAGCAGTAGTAGTAGTAGTAGTATAGATTGTTTTGATTATTACTTATTATGATTTTTTTTTTTCTGGAGCCAATTTACCACCTAACAATCCTAGCATGGTCGCGTGAAGACTGCGGTAATCTTAGAAAACAAAACAGTTCAAATGGTCTCCTCTTATCCCTGCACGAAGGCAGATAAACATCGGACCAAGTGATTTAAGTGCAAGAGTATCAAAACAAACAGCGC